CAGCATTTATTGAATGCAGAGCACTAAGCTTCCACACTTTGCTTGACAGACCTTGCATGATTGCGTCATCATAGTAGCCCTTTCAAACAGGTTGTAGAGAGCATCATGGAACTAAGTTGTGAGATGAGGGCCACAGGACTATTAGAGGCAAAACTAGAAGTGTCTCATAACTCTCACTTTAGTATTTGACCTCTCACCTCTTGAATTTTTGTCCATCTACCCTTTTGTTCACCTACCTGCTATCTAGCCGAGGACTGCTCTGCTTAGAACTGAAGTATGGTAATCACTGGATACCCACCTCTTGTCACCTTTTCTGGAAAGACTTCATATCTTACATGTCACCCTTGCATCTTAAATCTGCCTATCCTTCAAGTTTGGTCCCCGTCTTCCTATCCCACCATCCACCACTTCATCATCTAGTCACCTAATTCCAAGAGCTCAACCTCCTGCACATCTATCTTGGTGAGCAAATTTTTCTTCAGCTTACTGCCTCAGCTTTAGCTGCAAGGTTCTTATCTTCTATTACCAAGGTCATTTGAACATCTTTCTCATCGGCAGTTTTCAGCTCACCTTCCTCAGATCCACCTTTCTGGGTTGCTGTGAGAGCTATCATCTCTCACAGCATCATCTCTTTGTTTAAAACAACCTTGAAGAGAAAATTCTCCACTCCTCAGGGTAGCAAACAGCCCACTGAGGCCTGACTCCTGCCTACAAGGATTCATTTTGTTTTTTAGTGTGACTTTCTATGAAGTCTTTCCAGTCTACAGTTTCCACGTAGAAGTGGCCACTTCCAAATCCCTGCTTAGGGCATGCCACACACTTCAATCTCACAGCACTAACACAATTTATAGCACTCTGCTAAACTCGGTAAAACTAACTTCTCTCCTAACTCCCTCTCATCAACCCAGACCCTTCTCAGGGTCTTAACTACCTCCTACAGATCCCCAAAGCACAGTGCCTGGCACAGGGTAGCTTTACAATAAATATGTTTTGGAAGAGAAATATGAATATGTATAAGCATTTCAGATTGAGAAAATATGATCAATACTGTTTACATTGCATCTCCTCCATAGGTAGATATGCAAAATAAATTTTAAAGAAGTCAGCAAACCCAAGCATAGTTAGAAGAATTATCAAAGCACTTTATTCATTTCTACCTTCCAGGATAAGGAACTAGCAACAGCATTACATATGAACGGTGAGTACCAGCATAGAAAGTGATATGTAAAATATAATACAACACATATTCCTAGACAAAGTCAATCTGAGCCCATCATAAAAACAAAATTTTTTAATTACTGCTCCAATTGGACATAAAAATAAATATTTTTCAAAAGACAGGCAAATTTTTCTATAGTAAAATTCTTTAAAACTTTATATAGATAGGTCAATTTTCTGGAAACTTCAATCATTCTTCTGACAACCTTCTACATTTCTTCAATGACACATTAGTCATTCAGTAGCATGTTATTTAACTTTGTGGTATTGTTAATTTCTATTTTTTCTCCTGCTGTTGATTTTGTATTGTTGCTTTTCATTTAAGGGGATGTATAGTAACTGTGTTATGGAGACTATCATATCTAGATGTGAGGATACAATGCAGCATGCATCTCTATTTCCAGACCAAAGATGGATTCCCAATGAATCTGTTTACTAAATCTTGACAATAAGATGCTAGACTCTGTCATTGCCCATGCCCACAGTGATGAACATACAAGTGTTTATGAAGAACCATACTAAGGTAATAACAGAGGGGAACTCAGTGAGAGGGAGGGATTTGGTGAAAAGGGAAGGGAAATCCCAGGGCCTATAAAACTTTATCATAAAATGATAATAATAATAAGTAAAATGTTAAAAAAAAAGAAAATTAAGAAATAGAAATATCACATATAAACAGAAAATATCTGTCACAAAATCCACAGGCTTTAAACTCAGACAACAGTGTACATCATTCCATGGAAGAAAAGACAACAGATAAAACAGAAGGAGGGCCAGCTCACAGTGTGACAGCAGTAGAAAGTGATCGCTGATAACAGAAAGAGGACCCAGAAAAACCATAGAAAGAAGAATGGTACTTCTGTCTCCATTCTAGTATTTCAACGCAGCCGGCTGAAACCACTTACAATAAACAAAAAGCAGCTCTATACACCTCAACGAACAGTGCCATTCAATTCTTCATGAATCCACGCTCAAAAAGATAACTCCACAAAGGAAAAATAACTGTCTAATATCCTCTAAGGAAACAAGGAGCACAGTAAAATTCAGAAATCGCTTGTTTGTTTCAAAGTTTCAGTAATCAATGGTGTGAGAAGACAGCTCTCCAGAAAATGTATTTGTTTTAATATGCATGAATCCAGATGATGTGAAAAAATAAGATGCCTAGTACAAACAACATTCCCACTCTTCACCAGTATACTAGAATTTTTCAAAAGTATGTTAGAAATCAAGCATGAATTAAAATGGCTTATGTCTGGGAAAGCAGTAGAAGATGGCCCAAATCCTTGGGACCCGTACCTGCATGGGAGACCTGGAAGAGGCTCCTGACTCCTGGTTTCTGATCTGGCACCAGCCAGTGCAGCCATTTGGGAAGTGAACCAGTAGATGGAAGAGCTTTCTCTCTGTCTTACCTTCTCTCAGTAAATCTCATCCATCTTTCCAATAAATAAATCAATCTTTAAAATGGTAACAAAACTCTATTATTTGCTAAGTAGCCACATAGTTTTAAAAAGCAGTCAGAAGATTTAAAGTGGGGCTGTTCTGGCTGTATTTAAATAGCAATCAAGCTAAAAGTTCTTCAAGTGTGCTGTGAAATGTTATAATTTAAATTAAATCATTGGGAAATGTAAGTTTTGAACAGAAAATAAAGTTTACAAAACTAGTTATAAAAACCTTTATTTATTACTTCGATATATTCATCCTAATGTGTACCAGTTACAAATACAAGCCCGAATCTCTGGAAATTTTAGAATTAGATCGAATTTGAATCTTTAGAGTAGTGTTAGCTGGAAAAACTCAAAAGTGTGATGTCTGCTCATTGGTGCTCAAGTTGTGAATATAGAATCAAGAGTTTACTAAAAAGCAGGTCACCATGCTTCACCACAGCTTTCAAACACTCCTGCACTAGGTCACCCACACTAGATGTCAATTTAACCTTGTTGGTGGCAGGCAAACCAAATAATGCTGGAGTATTTACCTCTCGCACAATCTAGTTACTCAACAGAAATACATTTCTAAAATAAAGCCTCCAACTACCAAGAGAGAGCTTCTACAGAAAACTAAGTCTGTGGACCCAGATTTAATTTACTTACCAGAAAGTTCTGGTCTCCCTTCCCATTTAACATCAAGGTGCCCAACTTTTCAATTAATTTAAAAATCTCCTGCAGACACACTGCGATTGCTCCTCAGGTTAACAGATGAAAGTACTTTCCAGCCTTCTGGCAACTGGCTTCCCCTCTCCCCGCTTCCCCCTTCCCCCCTCTCCAAGATGTGGGAATGAAGCCTATGGATTCTGACTGAAACTTTTTTCTTTTCTTTTCTTTTCTCTTTTTTTTTCTTTCTTAACATGAACTGGTCAGAAATAAATAAAAACAACACACTTGGCATCTAGCCAAACTACCATATATCCACGTCATTAATCTTGTGGAGAAAAAAAAAAAAAGTACAAGGTGACAGACAGCCTGAGGGGACTGAAAATCGTGTAGTGTGACTTTTCTGTTTTTCCGTGACAGAACCCGGATGGGGAAGAAGAAAAAAGGGGGTGGGGGAGGGTGCTAACGCCGGTTTATACGGTAAAAGTGACTCCGATTACACCTGGATTGAAATCGCCCTGTAAGCCCGCGACGGCTGCTCTCCTCCCTGACAACGCCACTTCGTGGCGGTGCAGCCCGCCTTCCGGCTGTGAGAGACTCTCAAGTTCTGCAGTTTCTCCTCGGCGCCCCAGCCCTCCCTAGGGGATGCTGAAAGGTGATGGGAAACCCAGGACCAAGTACAGAGGCGATCCTCTCCCTAAACCCAGGCAGTGCTGCAGAAGGCAGCACAATCACCTCACTCAACTTTACAAGCCCTCAGTTCAAACAGTGCACGAGCACGTAGACAGCGGGTCCCCAGCTCCCGCTCCCGCTGGTTGTCCTTTTAACCCCGACGCGCCGCACAGCGCAGCCCTCACAGAGTCCCTTGGCGCCCTCGGCTCCAAGGCGCAGGCCACCTCACCGAGCCTCCAACCCCAGGAAGGCGCCCTTCTCCCTCGCGGCCCGCCCCCCGGTGCTCACCTCCCAGCCAAGCCCCGGGACCCGCTTCTCCTGTGAAGGGCACCCCGTAGGACGCCCCTTTCCGCGCGACTCCGCCAGAAACTGTTCCATTCCTGGGACGGGGTGGGGGGAGAGGGGGGCGGGAGCCGGATCTCCACGCCGAAAAGTCCCAGCGCGCAGTATGCAGCCCCCCGAAACGGTCCCCTGTCCCACCCCTCCCCCACGCAGCCAGCCCGACATCCCCCTCCCTCAGGGTCTGACACCGAGTTGAGGAGAGCTGGGAGTGCTCCTTCTCTCCCGCCACAGCCAGCAGGGAGGGAAACACCTCGGGCCCGTGGGGCTCCCTCGACCCCATCTCTTCAGGGTCAAGTGCAAACTCCTCAAACCGATCGGAGCCCCTCAATCCCCTCGCGCCTCGGGTAGGAAAGAACGCGACTGGACCCCCGGCGCGTGCCATATGGAAGAGAGAAGGTGACGGGAGTGACCCGCCTTTACACTCCCCCCGCACCAGCCTCCGGCTTCTCTAACACACCTACACACACACACCTACACACACACACCTACACACACACACACCCCGATTCCTAACTCCCTCAGCCCAACCCCAGCGGCGCTTTCCAATTCCTAATCCCCCGCCCCCTGGAAAGCAGCCATTCGCCCGGCACTCACCTCCTCCGGGCGCAAACAACGCCTCTCTCCTCCTCCTCCTCCCTGTCCGCCCCCTCCCCTTTTCCGCCGCGGTCCCCGCTTTACCTCGTCTCCGGAGAGTGCTGTGCGTGAGTTTGAGTGTGTTTCAGCCGCGTAACTGTATCCGGGACAGAAGGGACCCGTGTTTGCGCGCCGGATCAGGTGTCGCCGCCTTTGGTGGCTCGGGGGCGTGAGGGAGGCTGCAGGACCACTGCGCGGGCTGAGGACGCGCGCTCTGGAACTCTCCAAAGAAGGCAAGGCTCTCACCGCGCCCTCGCTCGCGTGCCCAGCGCGCCTGCTCCTCCTCAGCCCCCCGCGGGCCGGCGGACCCCCGCACCGTCGCACACACTCCCCACCGCGCCGGGCAGCCCCTGCCTTCCCCCGCCTGGCCGCGCAGGGCCCTCAGCCTCGCATCACACTCGGCGCGCTCGGAGCGCCTCCCGCGGCCGGGGCGTGCTGGCCGACGCGCCTCGGCGTTCCGCGCGCACAGGCTCCCGCGAGGGTCGGCGTCCCGGGACCCGGCGGCCAGGCGGGCGGGCAGCGACGCTCGCAGAGCCTCCCGCACACGTGACCCGCCCCTGTGGCCCCTGCGAGGCGTGGCCCCCGCCCTTTTACTCTCCCCACCCCCTCCCATCTCGCCAGCTCCGCGATCTTGGCCGGCGTGCCTTACCTCACCTTCTCGGCTTGCCTTCTCTCTCTCGCCGTCTCTCTGGCTCTCTCACTCCCCGCGGACCCAATCAAAAGTTGCACTTATAGGCGAGGGGAGTTACAGGATTAAGAAGAGGGGTATCTGCTGAGGAGAGCAAACACCTGCGCCACAGCCAATCAGGCCTCGATTGGGGGAGTTAGTGAAGTAAAAAGTGTTCGAAAATGCTGGTCCGGTTCTGGAATCCCAGATAAAGTAAACTGGGTTGTTGAGTACAGCAACATCATTCCCCTTGGTCTGTCTCTGGCTGAAAGAGCCATTTATGCTTTGCTTGGTTGTGCCTGTGGTGACTTTATTCTGACTAATCAGTGTTTGCCAGCAGCATATCCTTGCCAACTTGGCCTCTGGGCTAGGAAGCAACTTTGCCAAAGACTCACTGGCTCACTGGGGCAGGCTTGCTGTGGGCCTCGGATCTTGGAGTCCCACGGCTTTGAGCATCTGGAAGCAGCTAGTTGGCTTCATGGAATCCAGTGAGCCTGAGGGGGGTTCACTTTTCCTGTCAGTCTCATGGCATGGTATGCAAAAGCTTGGGCTAAACTGTTTACGTCCCAACTTTCAGAAAAGCAAAATGTATGCAAATTCCAGGAGCCGGGTTGCCCCCCACAGCATATCAACCTGGGGAATAACACAGTGCCACAGTTGGCTATGCTTTCCCCTCGGCCCATCTGGAGTCCCGTCCTGAGCAGGTTGGGACTTTCTCCCTTAGATAAGAAAGCCTGTGTTCTTGCTAGACAATGAATAAAAAAAAAAAAAAAAAAACCCTAATAGGCGCAACTTTATTTTAACGTGTATTTTAAGTCCCTCAGCTTAAGAGGGCTCAAGTATGAAGGTATTTTCAAATGTACGGTTCAAAACGATAACTCAGTTCCATTCTTTGCTGATTAGATTATCTTGAAAACATCTTCCTGGTCTTCGTACCTGACCCAAGGAGTTATCTTCCTGTGTACTTATTTATAATTACTTGAGTTGCTCTGCATTATCAGGGGGGCAGGGAATATGCCCATCTTTATCCAGTGTTTGTCTATTGTCTTCCATGCCTCACAGCTCTACACAGAAAGAGCATTCATTAACCCAAAATAAGTTTAACCCGTCATTGTATAAACAGTTGAATTATATTCTTGCAGCTTGAAATTTTAAAAGGAAGAAATTACTAACATTTCTTATCTCCTTGATTTTTCTTTACTTTAGAAACAGAGGGACAGAAAAATACAGAGAGCTCCCAAAACCCGGTTCACCTCCAGTTGTTTACGGGGGTCAGAGCTGGCCCAGGCTGAAACCAGAGCTAGAACTGTTTGTCCTGCCACCCGCGGCCTCTCAGAGAGAGCCTTAGCAAGAAGCCAGAGGCAGAAGCAGAGCTGGAAAGCAAACCGGGCACTCCAGGGTAGCATCCAGTACAGCAAGTGGCACCTAACCGTTGCACCAAGTACCTACACTGGAGTATGTGTGGACTGTGCATATTGATATGCTCAAGTATTAATTTTAAATGCTTATTACAATTCTCCAGCCAAGGGGGCTCATATGATTTTATTAGAAAATATTGATAACCGTATAAGAGGTATTTGCTTAGCCTACTAATGATTAACCATTAATTACGGAACCAAGCTCTGTAATATTCAATTTCAGCCTCAGCATTTGTCAGTTCTGTGACCTTTAGCATATTACTCAGCTTCCTTTATTTCCTTACCTGTACGTTGAAATAATAATGGCATCTACTTCATAAAGTTATTGTAACAGTTATAGGGATTAAGCTCAAACTTGCTTAAGAAATAGAACTCAGATCTAGTAAATGTTCAATAAATGTTACCCATATATGTGACTTACCTGCAACTTCTACTGGCAATGGAAGTTAATTGGCATTTTGATTTTCATGTTGCTGTTGTGTTTATTAATATATTGAATAAGGGGATTTTTTTCCCTAATACTGGAGGCAGCACAGCATGGAAAATGTCCCGGCTTCTTTTCTTGTAGGACTTATTTTTCATACAGTGTTCAAATAATATTAAAATGTTCTAATACTTTGCATTTTGCTATAGATATACTAGTATTTCTTAAAAGGGTTTGTAAATTCACTTTATTTACTTCATAATTTCTACCTTATCTTATGCATCTAGCAACTATTATTTTAATCACCTAACTTAATACTCAAAGTTAACAAGCCCCACAGAAAATTTTCCTCCTAAATCTCCTAAAATTTATTTCATAGATTCTGCCCTTGGATGGGGAGAGAATTAACTTTCTAAAAAAATAGAAAATATGAGTGTATAAGTATAGTTTACTTAAATGTAATAAGTACCAGTTGCATAATAAAAGCAATAAGTCGCGAGGGAAAAGAGCAAAAGTGATTGATGCTAGTTACACTTGGTTGTAAAAAGATCTTGGAAAAGTTTCAGTAGAAGTAAAGGATGTAAGAATAAAATCTTAATTATTTCTGGACAATTTTTACAAGTGAAGGAAGCTTTAAATCTACTACCAGAAAGTATATAATATTTAAAATATCTTAAGCATGAACACACTGTTTTGTTCAATTGTATTTTCCACATAGCTGAGCGTACACTTGGACACTGATAGGAACAGAACATGGAAGACATTCCAGCCACAAATACAAATATATGTGGTCCTCTGCCATTTCAGGAACATTTCAGGTGTTATGTGACAGAAGGGTAAATAAATTATACATACAATTAGACAAGTATAATGAAAGCACAGAAGTAATACAAAAGAAGTAGAATAACGATCTGAAAACCTCTAAAGAAATTTTACAAAATATTGACGCAAGCTGCGCTTTGAATGATGAGTAAAAAGTCACAAAATCAGCACTAATGATGTGGCACCGTGGGTTAACTCACTGCCTACAACACTGGCTTCCCCTATGGTCACATGCTTATGTCCTGGCTACTCAACTTCTGATCCAACTGCTTGCTAATGTACCTGGAAAAGCAAGAGAGGATGACTGAAGTCCTGGGGTTCCTGCTCTGACAGGAGACCCAAATGGAGTTCTAGGCTCCTAGATCCTGCCTGGTTAAGCCCCAGCACGGGCAGCCATTTACTGAGGGACCAACAGGTGGAAAATCTCTGTGTCTCTCTGTGTCTGTCCTGCCCTGTCTGTAACTCTTTCCTTTCCTTTTCTTTTCTTTCCTTTTCTCTTCTTTTCTTTTCTTTTCTTTTCTTTCCTTTTCTCTTCTTTTCTTTTCTTTTCTTTTCTTTTCTTTCCCTTTTTCTTTTCCTTTTCCTTTCCTTCTTACTCTCTCTTTAAGATATATTTATTTTTATTTTAAAGAAAGGAGGAGAGACAGTGAGAAAGATACAATGGCCAGAGCTGAGCCAATTTGAAGCCAGGAGCCAGGAGTTTTTCCAGGTCTAGCATGTGGATACAGGGTCCCAAGGCTTTGAGTCATCCTCAACTTCTTTCCCAGGTCACAAGCAAGGAGCTAGATGGGAAGTGGGGCTGCCATAACTCTGCCTTTCAGACAATAAATAAATCTTAAGAGATTTATTTATAATAAATAATTTTAACTTTAATTTTAATAATTTTATTTTTAAATTAAAGTATTTAAATAAATCAGATAAAGTAATTTCAATTTAAATAATCTCATTTTTTGTCTCACCCTCTCTCTGTGACTTTGCCCCTCACACACAAAAAAAATAAATCTTTTTTGAAAGACACTGCATACTCTGTTGAAGAGCCTAGGTTTGAATCTTGGCTTTACTTCCAATTTCAGTTTCTTTCTACATAGCAGCAATGATAGCCAAGTGTCTGGTATCTACATAGGTGACCCAGATAAAGTTCCTGTTTGCTGGATTTCACCTGTCCCAACCCTGGTCGTCCTGATTGTTTGTCACTCTTGCGGAATTCTCTTTTGCTTCCTCTTCCTCTCCCCCAGAGAATAAAAATAGAGCTTTTTAAGCATTATTTTATGATCCATCTACTAATATTTCATATGGCTATCTTATATTCACTTTTTCTGATCAGGTTACAGTTCTGAGATGAAATTATTAAGTACATGTTTATTCACAAGTATTCTTCTTAAACATGACCTTTCTAAAGAAGTAGATTGCAGGGGCAGGCACAGTGGCTCAACAGGATAATCTACCTGCAAGTGCCAGCATTCCATATGGATGTCAGTGTCCCAGATGCTCCACTTCTGATCCAGCTCCCTGTTTACGACCTAGAAAAACAGCAGAGGATGTCCTCAGTCCTTGGGATCTTGCACTGACACAGTGGAACTGGAAAAAGTTCTTAGATTGGTTTAACTCTGGCCATTGCAGCCATTTGGGGAATGAACCAGTGGATGGAAGATCTTTCTGTCTCTTCTCTCGGTAAATCTACCTATCTAGTAAAAATACATATTTTTTAAAGTAGCTTCCATTAAGAGCAAGGACTTTACTCCTAAGATTTGCACTGTTGATTAGGTTATCTACATGTATTTTATGATCAAAATTCTGTTTTGAGTATCTTTCTTGTTGTCCTGTTTTTCATTTGCTACCTCCTGTGTTTTAAGTATTTAAAAACCATTGTGTAGTAAATCATCTA